GGTGGCAAGAGGCAGGATCAACATTTTTAACTTGGATGGAGGTACACTACAAGCAGAAGATGGAGGGTCAATATGAGACAGAGACTGTGAGCCAGAAGATTGGCAGTGACAAGACCGAAACAGGGAGATGGTAGGTCCCCAGTAATTGACCAACATTAAAGAGAAAGAACTTAAAATAGTGACTTGCTGTATTAAATTTTGTAATGCGAACTCTTGGCTCTGCATGAGGTACAAACCTTTTCTACTGCCTACATCAAAGGTACCTTCCAAGTACTAACCACTTCCATGATACTCAAACCGGACGATGGGCTGGATGATCTTCCTTATGGGTGCTCAGTCTTTGCTGCTTTAAAAAGATCTCCTTTCTCTTTTATCATCTGGGGTGCAATGACTACCTTTCTTGCATCTGAGCGAAGTGGTTGTGGACTTAAGACCTACCTCAGATTTGATTTGATAGTCTAGGCTGAAACATCCGGTGTCTCCTACATAAATATTGCACTGTTGAATCAGATGTTAAACCAAAGCCCCATCTGTTGTGTCAGATGGATGCAAAATAACCCATCACAGTCTTCAAAGGAGATCAGGGTAATCATAATGTTTCTGGGGGCAATATTTATCCCACATCAAATTCCTTTAAAAAATATATATCTGTGTTTCAGTGATTGAAAAGGCTTGAGACAGCCTCAGTTTGCTATATAAATGCAAATTACTTCCTTTCTTTGTGTATGTGACATACCTTTGTTGTCGTGTCCATCCATCATGCTAAAAGTGGATTTTTTCCATGTGCACTGTTTTCTCTGGCTGACAGTTCAACTCACTCCCAACTTGGTTCCCTTTTCAGGTTTACATGCTAGAAGCACTGGGTGGAATCTTTCCAGCCCCTGAATGACATGGTCATTGGCAAGTTAGTTGAGAAAATACAGGGAGATCAGCAGAAACGAGATTTTTGACATTGATGGGAAAAGTCCAATTCTGCACCCAAACGTTGAAAGGCAGGATAAGACACTCTGAGATAGTAGGAACTGCTGATGCTGGAGTCTGAGATAACAAAGTGTGGAGCTGGAGGAACACAGCAGGCGAGGCAGCACCAGAGGAGCAGGAAAGCTGACGTTTCAGGTCTGGATCCTTCTTCTGAAGAAGAGTCCAGACTCGAAACGTCAGCATTCCTGCTCCTCTGGTGCTGCCTGACCTACTATGTTCCTCCAGCTCCACACCTTGTTCTGTTTATCATAAGACACTCTGTTGTGAGCAGTGAAAAGCCTTTGTGCATCCAGCTGCATGAATTAACATGCCATTATTACTGAAACTCTATGAATTTATATCCCCACTCTCCCAACCACTGTTTAGAAATTAGAATAGATAGAATCCCTACAGTGTGGAAACAGGTCCTTTGGCCCAACAAGTCCACACCAACCCTCAGAGCATCCCACCCAGACCCATCTCCCCAAACCCACCTAATCTACACAACCCTGAACACTATAGGCAATTTTAGCATGGCCAATCCACCTAGCCTGCATGTCATTGGACTGTGGGAGGAAACTGGAGCACCCGTAGTGAACCCACGGAGACACGGGGAGAATGTGCAAACTCCGCACAGACGGTTGCCCGAGGAGGAATCGCACCCAGGTCCCTGGCGCTATGAGGCAGCAGTGCTAACCAAAGAGCCACTGTGCCACCCGTACAATTCCTGACATGAAAGTCAGAGCAGGAGCCTAGCGACTCCAGCTTGCTGTGCTCCTCCAGGCCTCCATCTTGGACTAACCACCACCCTCCTACCCCTCAAAAACTAGCCAACCTGGATCTGCAGAATTTACGGTGGCCTACCCCTCGGACTGTAGTAGTACAGACTTCCTGACAGCCCCAAACAGCTGAGAAACCACGTCCAAGCCCTGACCAGTTCCCAGCATCTCAGAGCATCCTCTGTAGACAGCGACCACCCACATCCCTAGACCAGGGGCATTGGCCTTGAACTTGTACCAACTGCTCCACACCCTCATGCCACATCTCCAATCTATTTGTAATATGGGTTTGCACTTTTATGCTGCACCTTGGGTGTACCAGCACCTTTCATTGAAATGTTGTTGCCAAGACAATTTGTATATGGGGCGGATAGCCCATTCATGGATTAGGCAAAGGAGCATCCCTTGCTTTGTTAGCACACACTCACTTTACGGCTCTGTTTGCACGCTCTGACCCCTAAGCCAGACTTTAAAAGCTGTATACTTCTGCTTGATTTGTTGTTTAGCACAGACACAAAGCAGGCACCTTGTCATGGTTGTCTGCAGTCATATATTATATAGCACCATACACTGATTTCACACTTGCAGCATACACAGCAAACACCCTGCATGTGCTTCAACCAAACTGTCACGTCTCAGAGTCTAAGTGGGGAGCTTGTCAGTCAGGGGGTCCTAACACTGTAAATCAATATTATAATTTGCAGTCTGGCCAAAGCTTGGACATGGCTCATCAGCTATTAAAAGTTGTCAGCAAGTCTGTACCACTACAGTCACAGGAGTGGGCCACCGTAAATTCTGTAGGTCCAGTGTGGCCAGTCTTCTGGGGGATGGGAGGGTTGTGGTTAGTCCTTGAGTCAGCTCAGTGAAGGTCAAGGGGGTGTTGGCTTATCAGGTGCCACTCCTGTGCTGCAAGGAAAATAATAGCCCCTTAAGGGAGTCTGAATATCTAAATTTCCAGTGCACCTGTTCCAGATCAACACGAACAATTGTTTGGCCTTGGATCCATAATTCCATCCCTCTGTTGGTCACTACCTCATGCTGAACGAGACTGATAACATAGTATTGGTATTAATTTTTGTCCTTGACATGGTATACTTAACATTAATACTGCCAAATCTTATGGCTGCTGTTTCCATGACTTCAACATTAGCTGCTTCTACTTTCTTCTCAGCAAATCTAGCACCTGTGGTTTGCATCCATGCCATTGTCAATTTTCAGAGCTTAGTTGGTGACCTGCTAGTCGTCTTCCATCGCAGTACAGTTCATTCCAAAGTCTGTATGCATATTATAGAACAACAAGCCATACTCTGTCATCACTGTTTTCATGGTTCCAGTTCCGAGATACTTAACACATGAAATTTAAATCTGAACCTCCTACCCTACTTATCTAATCTCTTTAGCTCCCTCAAACTCTCCAGTTCGAAGATTCTGCTCTTTTGGTTTCCTTCCCTCTTTTTATTACATCATCATGGATTGTGCTTTCAGCTGCCCAGGGCACAGGCTCCAGAAAGTCTTGCCAGATCTCCTGCCTGCCCACCCTTTCTATATTTTTCTTTAAAATATCTCTTTCTCAGCCCTCTGACTAACATTTCTGCTGGCTCTTAATTATTTTATTCTTTGTTTATGCATTAAGGGCAGTATAAAAATAGATTGATGCTCCACAGCTCCTTCCTTTTAGTGTCATCTTAATTCCTCTTCGTGTTGACATTGCATCCCATCAATTTTTACAATTTCTAAATTTTCACCATTTCCCTTTGTGCTATCCAAAACTCTGGTTTTTCACTTGCCATGGGCATTCATTTCCCACTTATTGCTTCCACACCTGATGCATCTAGCATTTTCTCTCTTAATGCTTTTAAACCACTGTGTTAATTGAATTAGATTTCTTCTGAGAATTAAGAAAATCCATTAAGTCTCTGTAAATGTAAACTTTTCTATTCTTTCCTAATTACTCTGATCTATAACTGTATGTATTAATCCTTAGAGATATTTTCTTTCTGCATGGTAGACCATAACCATTAATGCAGATCTTCCATTGGTCACAGACTCATAACCTAAGTGTACAAGTTGAGTATAAGTGCGTACCAGAAACCTGGTCATAAAATTGTATCTCAAAAGGGTGAAATATACCAGAATTCAATACTTTTCTCAGACTTAGCTGTCAGTCAAAACATCAGGATCTGACTTGATTTTTCCTTCCGTGCCAGAAGGCTTTGAACTACCTGTGCAGATATGTCAAAAAGCAAACGTTTTGCCGACTTCTTTTTGCTCGGCTATCTTTCATGGTTAATTTATTAGGAAATTAATGGGATTATTTGGACCATTTACACAATAGATTAAATCCAATCCGGGTTGGGTATTCTCACTTGAATTGCCAATTCATGTGATTTGTGCAGATAACTTTATTTCAAGTTAGCCATTGTGTACCTATGTGATGCACAGCTCCTCAGATGTTGCCATTGACCAAGGATCCAAACAAAAGTGATGTAGCTATTTTGGAAGCAATCCAGCAAAACCAAACTGAGGGAAGCATAGTTTCTATTCACTGCTAATGGACTGCTATAAAAGGGGAGCTGGGAAAAAAACTCCCTGATTTTTAAAACTAAATCCACAAACTCACGCTGTACCAGCTCCGATGCAGTGGCACTATTTGGGCACGTAATGAAAATTACAAGAATTGTAGATATTCACAATGTATTTTTCCATTTTTATCACTAGGTTGGAGAATCACATTGATTTTTAACTGCATCTTAACCAGCTAGGTTTACATTTTGAAATCAAGGTTGCAGGATAAATCTGTAAAATTCTTTCCTTTGTAATTTTTACCTTTTTTTCAGAAAATAAACAGACGGTTACATTTGTCCAAAACGAAGCACAGTAAATTCAATGAATCTGGCCAGCTGGCATTCTTCTACTTGTTCTCCTTTATTTGGGGCGGAAGCATCCTGACTGGAGTAAGATTCTATCTTTGAAATATTTCATTATGTAATTTATATTGTATTATTGAAGTTTGTAATTTTCTGATGTTTTCTTTTTTGCCCCTGTTTAGGAGAAATTTACAACTGATCCTACTCTCTTATGGGAAGGATATCCACACACTCATATGTTGTAAGCACATTTTCTAAATTTTCAGCTAAGATTAAAATACTTAGTTTAAAAGAAAACATTGAGAGGTTCTGGAAGAAAAATCACATTGGAAAATTCATTAGGAATTTGAAATACTTTTATACTGTTTTTAAATTTCATGATTTCTGTTCAACCATTCTTGTAGAATGAGTGTCATAAGATATTGTTTTATGCAGGATTTTGTTGCAGGGTATCTGCTTGTGAAATTGTTGACCAACTGTGTGGCTTGGCTTGTCTCTACTTTCTGCTTGCCAAAATGCAGCAAGTACACCTTTCTGAGCTGGGGTAGATGACAGCATTGCTTAAATATTGGTGCAATATAGGGCAGGATTGGAGAGTAAAGGCAGGATTAACTTAGCCATAATATTCTGCACAGCTAAATAGTTGATTCCCCTGCATCAGCTTCATTTATGAACAAATCTAGAATGAAATACTGGATGGTTATGGATGCCAATGGAAATGCATTCCATCAAGAACTGGCATTTTTAGAGGAAGAGAAAAAAAAGGAAATGATTAAATATAATAAATATGATTAAATATTCACTTTTTCTTTGAGTATTCTAGATCCTTTATTTTCTCCTGTAAACTGGCAGCTTTTTTCCATTAAACCTTGGTTGAAAGGCTCACTCATGGACACCAGATAACACTTTTTGAACTAAGAAATTATACTTATTTAAAAAATTTATTTAATCTTAGTACAGCTGAGTTTAATTAAAAACACTGACCATTGAGGAAGTTAATTCGAAATACAAGTCATTTTGCAGTTCTTGCCTTTCCAAATACACGTAAATCCTGTCCAATGTACCCCCCCGCTGATGTCAGGCGCACTAGCCTATAGTTCCTTGGCTTTTCCTTATCACCTTTCTTAAATAGTGGCACTATGTTAGCTAACGTCCAGTCTTCTGGCACCTCACCTGTGACTATTGATGGAACAAATATCTCAGCAAGAGGCCCAGCAATCACTTCCCTATCTTCTCAGTTCCAGGGTACACGTGATCAGGTCCTGGGGATTTATCTACATTTGTGTTTTAAGCCGTCTAGTACCTTCCTCCTCTGTAGTGTGGACATTTTCAAGATATCACTATTTCCCAATGTTCTCTACCTTACATATCCTACTCCACACTAAACATTGATGCAAAATACTCGTTCAGTATCGTCCCTCATCTCCAGTGGTTCCACACGTAGGTGGCCTTGCTGATCTTTAAGGGGCTGTATTGCCTCCCTAGTTACCCTTTTGTCGTTAATGTATTTGTAGAATCCCTTTGGATTCTCCTTAATCCTATTTGCCAAAGCTATTTCATATACCCCTTTTGCCCTCCTGATTTCCCTCTTAAATATACTCCAACTGTCTTTATGCTCTTCTAGGGATTTACTTTATCTCTGCTGTCTATACCTGACGTATGCTTCCTTCTTATTCTTGACCAAAACCTTAATTTCTCTAGTCATCCAGCATTCCCGTGATAAAGAAAAGAGAATAATGAGACTTTTCAGGTTATGTAAGTGGTTTTCACGATGTGTTGTTTTATTAGCATTGAGGATCTTTGTGTAGGTTGATACTCTGAAGGTGTCGATCAGGATCCTTTTTACAGCTCATGCAGATAAAGGCAATAATACTTCAACTTTAGTTTTCTATTCCTTGAGCTTCCAAGTGCTGCTAACAGGAGATTGGGCAGGGAACTTTCAAATCTAGCTGCTGATTCTACAGCATGAAAACTCTTTCACACAAGACAGTACAAAACCCAATTCAAGCTCTGACGTCTCCCCAACAGACCGACTGTCTCCTCCATAATGTTCCAGTTACCATTCAACGTCTGCCATCAGCTTAAGCATAAGGTTTTTTTCTAGACTTGCTGGAACCAGTTCTCAGATACCATCCTTGTTAGTAGCAGCCTTCTGCTGTCTTGATCAAGAACCAACCTGCATTCAACTTCTAGGCCTGGCCTCAGGAATAAATGGCTTGTTTGCTTTGTTTTCCTTGTAACACAAGCTATTACCTATGGTACAAAAGTCATGTTTAACTCTCAGTTCCCTGTTCAAACCTCCGAACCAAAATTGATAAAAGAATAAAACAAAAATCATGAAAAGTCAGCAAAGGCTTTAAGAAGGCACTGTTAAACAATATCGTATTAAAAGAGTCGTGGTGGTGAAGTTGTTTGTGTCTCTTAGTCTGAGCCAGAAGCTCTCAGTTCAAGCTCAACTCCAGGAATTGATGATCAAACAAGGTGGGTTCAGTTATGGCCAAATATTTTGTGTACCAATCCGTAAATCCTTTGAACACACGGTAGTAGAAGGTGGTGACAGTGGGAGAAATTCTCGGCAATTTCATGTGATGGAAATAAGTTAAAGCCTCTCCCATCGTTGACAGTAGCTCCAGTCTGCAACGTGCATCTAACAGTTCTGAAGAAGGGTTGCTGGAGCTAAAACATTAACTCTGTGGAGAAAAATCAGACGCTGCCAGACCTGCTAAGATTTTCCAGGAATTTTGATGCATGTAAAAGTGTATGTTGTGACAGCATCTCTGACTCCTATTGGGGCCATGTCCCTTAGTTGACTCGAAGGTAGATGTCGATTAGATTGCTGTGAATGGCATAAAGTTTGATCCCCCAGTGGGTGGGTTGAGTCCCACTTCCTTGCTCGAGGTGTGCTGGAGATTACAGCGGTATGCATTGGCCTTGCTTTTGGGTTTTAGGCTCACAAAATCACCATTGTTATATATTGTCCATCGGTGAACGAAGGCAAGCAAATCATTTGTGTTATCTCGTCCTGGAGAAGTGAGCTATTTGATCTTGGCTAGGAAGACAGAAGTAACATTGCATTGGCACAACTGAGCCTAGAACATGCAATGTAACACTCAGTATTTCCACTTAAAACACTATTCAGCCATTCCATCTAGAAAGTGAACCTATGGGCAAATTAGATGAGGATACACTGGGTTTAAAGAGTTCCACATTACTTGGTTTTATTAGGCTTTACATGAATGAGATACCAGACTACAGCCAAAAAGCTGGGGGTGGTGGTCTAGTTCAAGCTTCTTAAGAGCAAGTTAGGTAACATTTTATTCGGGTATAAGGCAAGGGTATTTTAAGATTATGGAACAGAAGTGGCTAAATAGGTTTGCGAAGATCATCCACCATGATCCATTTTAATGGTGGAGTATGCTCAAGAAGTTCAATACCAATTTCTTTTGAAGTGCAAGAATGAAAGCTTTCAAACCCAACTTGGAGCAGAGATCATAATAGATGCAATAGCAACCAGATTGAAAATGCATTTGTGTACAATTAAACTACTTCTAACTGATCGTCCGTTTGAGTCACCAGTAACAGCTATGGAGGATCATGGTGACAAAATTCTGCTTTAAAAACTGATCTGTGTTTTGCAAAAATGAAACATCTATAAATACTTGTTAAGCACCTGCTATACTATAGATTCAATCTTTTATTTGATTCAGTTTTCAGGTGAAGTTTTTCTACATTTGCCAGATTGCCTATTGGCTCCATGCGTTACCAGAGCTCTATTTTCAGAAAGTTAGAAAGGTAATTACATACCTATTTATTGTTTGTTATACCATCACAATAACGTAACCAGGTAAAATCAAATTTGTCGACTGAATTTACACAGAGTGCAAAATGAAAATTGCCAGGAAGTCGAAATTGAAAGTTGGAGTAACTCAGTAACCTTTTAAGGTCTCACAGAGTTTGGACATCTGATAGAATACCCCCCCTCCCCACACTGAGAAACTGGTACTCGTTTGATGTTCAGGGAAAATGTTGAATTGCAACCAAATTTTCCTGAACCCATTGCCTAATTCTTTGCTCATCCTCTCTCTAAATAAGAGATGGTTAGGCACAGCCTACGCATTCTCTCAAGAGGGACTAGTAGGGTAACCAAATTAGAGCTCTGGATAACAAGAAATTGAAAATATTAAGAAGAAAAAGTATGCTTATTGCAGATGTGGTAGAAAATAGAGAACCAGACTATGTGCAAAGTTCAGAGAGGTGGTGAAAAAATAAGAGAATGTTTTAAAAAAAACTAGCAAAAGAGAATTCTAAAGTCTTCAATAGACATATAAGTGGTAAGAGGCAAGGTAAAGTAAGTAAGGCAAGTAAAAGGTAAGAATTGCCAATGTTGAGCCAAGCAACTACATAGTTGTCAATTTACCTTCAAAATTCGGGAAGCATCTCAAAACAATAATTTGAAACCAGATTAATAGTCACTTGAACATACATAGGTTAATTTAGGAGAGCCAGTATGAATTTATTCAGGGAGAATCATATTCAGCAACCTACTGGAGTTTTTTTTTAAATCAGAAAACAGAAGGTTGATCAGGGCAATGCTGCTGATGTGGTATACATGATCTTCCAGAAGGCATTTGTTGAAGTGCTGATTTGCAAGTTATAGCTCATGGAATAAAAAGGAATAATTGCAACATGGATACATAGTTGGCTGAGTGATAGAAAATAGGAAATGGTTACTGGATGTTTTTGGGCTTGGGGATGTATTGTGGTGGAGTCCCTCAGGGTTCAGTGGTGATACCCCTGTTTTTCCTAATGTTTACTTGGATTTTAGGGTACGAGGTACAATTTTGAAGTTTGCTGTGGAACTTGGAGGATAGTGCAGAATTTCAAACGGACACGGACAGGCTGTCAGGCTTTATTAGTAGGGACATAGAGTACAAGTTCAAGGAGGTTAAGTTTGGCCTTAGCTGGAGCATTGTATACAGTTGTAGGGCCGGAGTTAAAGGAATTGGTGACCATGCAGAAGAGGCTTACAAGAATTGTTCCAAGCATGAGGAATTTCAATTATGAAGATACATTGGAGAAGTTCAGTCTGTTGTCCTTCTTTTTATCACAAGGTGAAGATGAGATCTGATTTAGGGAGATAATATTCCTGTATGTGAAAACGTTGACAGTAGTCTAAAAGAAACAAAAATCATGTAAAAGCTTTGACACATGAGTGCTAACAGTCTGGAAAGTGCTGCCCAAGTGTGTGCTGGAGGCAAGTTCAATCAAGACATTGAAAAGAAATTAGATGTTTATTGAAATGAAGCGTGTGCAAGGTTATGGGGAGAAATCAGAACCGTGGCACTACTTGAAATGCTGATTTGGAGAGCTGATGCAGAGATAATGAGGCTAAAGGCAGCCCCTCGCACGGTAACAATTCTGCAGTTCTGTTGACCAATCAGTCTGCCCAGCAAATAATGTTTTAGAAATTTTCTTTTTCTGTTGTAGTTTGGAGGAATGTCCATGATTTGACTTGAAGATTTTTGTGATTATTTGCAGAATATGGAGAACAATCAATAAATTTTAAATAATAACTTTAAATGATGGTTTAATTGTCATCTCCATTAAGGACTATTACATAGAATGATTTAGAATGTAAGGAAAAGATATGTGGGTTCCTTTTTTGGTTGCGCTTTTAAGTATCATTTGTTTTACTGCTAAAATGTTTTGATTTTAGTTTTCCTTTCTTGAAGTTCTCCAAACCAGTCCTCAGTAAGAAACTAGACAGGCAGTTGAGCCAAACTGTTCTGAAGCCTACGCTAATCCAGTTCTTCACCTTTAGCTATAAGTTATGCAAGAGTGATTCAGGCTATATGCCTGACTTCTTCCTGCCCTGCAAGAGAGAACATGGTATCCTCTCAGCTTCAACTTCTGGTGACATGGCTGGAATTGGGAACTGGGGAACTGAGGCAAATACACACCTATTTTAAGACACACATGATGTCATTTTCTTAGATGTTGCTCCTCATGTGTTTCAAATGATTGAATCTTACAGGAGGATATCGCTCGACAGCTGTACTACATTTGCCTTTACATATTCCATATTACTGGTGCCTATATATTAAAGTAAGTTTTTAACGTGCCTGATGCAGCTTTTTTTTAAAATTCGATACAGTTATCATGATTGGGATTTGTTTTTGTGTAGTGGACCTCCTAACTGTAAAAAATATCCCTCTCCATTTTCCCTTCACCTTATTATGAAAAATACTGGGTAATTGAAGTTCCCTTGAACAAGGAGAATATTGATCTTCTGTTCATGGGTGCAAGAAGCCCATTGTTTATGACATTACTTATATTTTGTTTCATTTTGGATCTTTATGAAATTATCCTTGACCTCCCAAAACTTTTCTCTTGAAATGAAGCAGTGTATAAGGAGAGCTACCTGTTGAACAGTACACTCCTCTTGCATCCCTTTCTTCTTGTGTTGCCAGCCGTCTGCTACCATTTACACATTGTTCTCCTTGCATTCTATTTCTTTTCAAATCTTTTGGTGTTAGAGAATGTAACAAACTTAGATTTTAAAAGAAGTGTCACGCTAGTAAATGGTGAAAATGGTTATTAATTGTAACCCACTTGTTCCCTGCAACTGGCTGCTAATATTTGCTTCTAAAATCTCCTTTGGAAGATGTGGGCAGGAATAATTGAAATTCATTTATAATGTATTGCATGTATAGCAAATAGATAATACAGCAGCCTACAGGCTGGACCTTTAATATTCTAGCTTGTCATTTTGATATTTAGAAAACTTACTTAGACAAGTTGGATCACTGACAATTTTTCTCATTCTAACCGTTAGTATAAAGCCAAAGTTTTGGAATATAATGATTTCTCTTTCCGTTAACTTGTTAACATATTGCTTGCGTGTTTGGATGCAGTACAATGTATTTGTATATTTTGCTTAGGATGTGTTCAACCAAATGCCAACCAGTCAGCAAATTCTCTTCAGTTTCTCAGATAATGTGACCAATGTTTGACATTTTCCTTCTTGAATGCGGTGAATTTATTGAGAAGGATCACGTGGCTAGAAGTTCTAGAAATTTGACATTGTTATAGATCAGCTTAGGTGCCAGCAATCTGTTCACTGGTAGTGCCTGCTTACAGATAAATGAACTTTTATATTTTTAGTGTAACGTTATTGATGAAATTGAAGAAGTGGACAATGAGGTTTTTCAAATAATTGCTTGTCTTGCAATTATGATCAGTTCATTTCCTGTCTTCATCCCTTCTTGCTGCATTTTTCAGTGCAGTAATGGCAAACTTCATGTCTAATCTGACAACAGATAGCATCTGTCCTTTGCTAACTTCAAGTTTTAAGTTGATACCAGGTGTAATTAATCAATTGTGTGGATATATGTGGTTGTTTTATGGCACAGTGGTAGTGTCCTTACCCCTGGACCAAGAGACCCAGGTTCAAGTCCCTCCTGCTCTCGAGGTGTGTCGTAATATCTCTGAACAGGTTCATCAGAAAAACAGGTTAAATTAAATTTTTCAAAAAATTATAAAATTGTGGTTGTTTTCAAGAGGGTATTCTGTTCAGAATAAAATTGATAGTCTGACTTGATGTTTAGAAGTATACTGCATTCATGTATTTTAAATTTTGTTTGTAATCTTGTTTGTCTTCGCAGTCTTCACAGACTGGGCTTGATTCTCTTGGTGCCGCATTACCTGGTAGAGCTCTTGTTTCATGCATCACGATTATTCTACTTCAGTGATGAGAACAAACAAAAGGGGTAAGTGAGTTTGTAGATTTACATTAGGAGTATGAACAGTTTGTTCTTTTTCTCTCCCTTACCATAGGAATGATGTAGTACAAAACAAGACTCCATGTGATCATGTGAGAGCCTCTGCTGCTACCACTAACTCAGGTAGTGAATTCCAGACACCTACCACCCTTGTGCTTTTGGGAAAAAAAAATTTCCTCATGCCTCCTCTAATCCTTCTGCCACTTAGCCTGAATCTATGACCCCCAATTTTTGAAATCTCTGCCGAGGGAAACAGGTTCCTCTTGTCCACTCTATTTCCACCTCTCACAATTTTGCATATCTCAATCATGTCACCCCTCAGCTTCCCTGTTACAAGGAAAATAGCCCCAACCCCTCCAATCTCCTTGTAGCTACAATTCTCCAGCCCTGGCAATGTCTAGTAAATCTTCTATGCACCCTCTTGAGAACACTTACGTTCTTCATGTAATGTGGTGACCAGAACTGCATACAGTACCCTAGTTGTGGCCTCACTAATGTTTTTACACAGTTTCATCATTAGATCCCTACTTTTGCATTCTATATGTAGAATTTTACTCCATAATACAAATACATCCAGTAGTTAGATATACTATTGGGCTGTTCCTTCAAACCAATCTTGGTAAGCGCAGAAGTAATGACAGGTTCAAAAAGGAGAGTTGATGAAAATAGGGAAAAAAGGCTAGCAAATAATAAACAAAACAATGACGCCTAAGAATACTATTGAAGATCAAAAGAATAATTGGTGGAAATGCTCAAAGGTCAAATGACAAGATCTAACTGAAGAGGAAGAATGTATGACTGAGAGATTACAGTCTTGTTGTATATGAGTGGAAGTGCAGGTGATAGAGGAGAATGTGGAAAAATGGTTTAAGGTGACTAAATAAAGGAGTTAGTTCTGGAAAAGGCAGCAGAAAACTACTGGATCCTGATAGTAAGCATCCTCTGATGCTGAAGCAAGTTAGACAGAAGATTGAAAAAGTTCTTGCCACCCTTTCTTTTCAGGTCTCGGATGTAAATTGTGAATTGGACACAGCAGGGCAGTCAGTGTACCACCTCTATTTAAAAAGGAGAGGTTATGATCAGGACTAGTTAATGTAACATCGCAGTAATGTCAACCTGTGCTTTGTCTAAGTGTTGACTGACCTGGGTATTTCCAGTTTTTAAAAAAAATTTAGTTAGAAACTAACTGACAGAAACCAAAAGGTTGGATTAATGGCTGTTTCGTTGAGAGAATTGTTTGACACATTGGGCAGTACTTGTCTACTTTGTTTGTTATTGTTTTGGATCAGACCTTGGGGGACAGTCAGTTTGTAGATGTCACAAAAATAAGTCTCAAAACTGAGTAAGATTGTAACTTGAGTGGGAAAGGCTGACAGAATAGGGAACCTTACTCAGGATAAAATGGAGCGTGGACAGATGCGTGGTCCTGCATTTTAGGAGGTAAAATCAAGTGTATACTGGGTCAGCCCATGGATAAACAAAGCGTTGGAGGGATAAAATTATTTTTCTTTATTCCATGGAATGTGAGTGATGCATTTCTTGCCTATCCATAATTGCCTTAAACTGCATTGCTGTGTGTCTATAGTCATATTTAGGCCAGACCAGGTAAGCATGGCAGATTTCCTCCCATAAGGGGTGTAAGTGAACCAGTCGGATTTTTACAACAACCAATTATAGGTTCATGGTCACCATTACCAAAACTAGCTTTATTATTATTTTTGAATCAACCTGTTCAGAGATGTTATTACACACCTCTGAAGTAAGTAGGGCTTGAACCTGGGACTCCTGGTCTGGAGGTAAGAATACTACCACTGCACCACCAGAGCTTCTTTGGACTAGCTTTATATTTCAGATTTATTAATTGAATTCCTATTCTGCCAACTGCCATTGTGGGATTTAAATTGGTGTCTCTGGGACAATAACCTGGGCCTCTGAATTTCTAATCTAATGACATTACTACTGCACCATTTCCTCTTGAACATAAATTCCTTACAAGGTGCAAATGTAATTTAATCAAGACATGACAAGCCAGCAGCATTGTAAGTTTTACAATTAGAAGCATGAAATAGAAGAACAAAACAATAATTACTAATTTGTTCTGTACATTGATTAGGCAAGAAAACTAGACAATAATACTCAGAAAAATACCTAAGTGCAATTTCCACTGATTTGGAGAATTGGTGAACTGCTGTGATCAGTTTAAACTTGGCATGAGGCGTGTAGTCAGGCAAACATGCTTCACAGGTTTTGGAGCTTGAGTTCCTTTGCGAAGTGATTGAAATTGTCAAATACAGTATGCTAATATATTGTGCTTTTTGCTTCAAATACTACAAATAACTGATGATCACTGGAACTTTAGGATATATTGATGATTACATTGTGCTGAATATGTACTGAAAAAATAATAGAAACATCTTTACTTTGTTCCTCAAATAAGATTTGTTCTATTCTCTTTAGCTTCACTCTCTGGGCTCTACTTTTTGTAATGGCTCGCCTCCTCACTTTGACTCTGTCTGTCCTCACGCTTGGTTTTGGCCTTGCAAGAGCAGACACTCGAGACTTCTCAGTTGCAAATGGAAATTTCAACACGTTGACTGTCAGGTAGGCAATTGAAGTGATTTTGAGTGTTTAATGTTCGAAAAACAATCATATCTATGTTGTCTGCATGAGGATCCAAGTTTCATATTTTAATGTAAAGATATGGGTTACTATTAGATAATCTTTTGTTATGAATTGATTTGTGTTTAGTGCAATCTTAGCATTTTTTATCTTTTAGAGCCAGACTTTGTTGAAAAACTATTTGCACCTCTTTCACTTCCGTACATGTCCCAGTTGTTAGCATCACCCTTGACAATGATGGTGATTGGACTTTCCCACTTTTATTATCTAGTTGGTAACTTCTGTGAAATTGCAAGCCTTCTGATATTTCATGTGAATTTTTCCTCATTCTGTATGGATATACTTGGCCCGTGCTCAGCTTATCGAAATAACACGTTGGCATAGGGCACAGTAGCCAGTAGCTGAAGTTACCAAAGAACTTGTGTATGTTAATTATCGAAAGAAAAGTGCAAATTTAGCTTGAAATATTGTTACTTAATACCCAAGAAATCAATTTTGTCAACTACTGACATAGGCCATTGCATCCCTTGAAATCCTTTGTCTATTATGACTCTTTGCAATACTTAATGACTGGATTTTTATGTAATTGGCTTCCCTTTAGCTTGACTAAAACCTGTCCGGTTAGTGCCATCTGTTGCACACATTATCCTTTGAAGGGAAAATTAACTTTAAACAAGTTGGTCACCACTGCAGTTTGGCATCATTAGCAACCCTTCTGTGACCATGAAAATCTTTTTGAATTCTTTCTATTATCTGATTATCTTTTGCAAGTATGGCAGTGAGCATGTTGAACCATCACTGAATTTAATGGTATAAATATCGACTCCTTCAGTTTCTAGTGAACAGATCTAAGTTTAAGTCACAGAACACTTGTATATACAGCTGCTGTCATGCTACTTTTAGATTTTAGGAAATTTAGTTTCTCACTTCAGAATCCCGTTTTCCAACACCGTTTAGTACATTATATAAAGTTAAAATACAAAATACCAAATACATTTGTCTTGATTGTGCATAAAAGTGAAGAAACCCATTCCCAGGAGTACTATGTAAGGGTCCTATCCAATTAGAATTTCTATTATTACACTTTGTTTCCACCATTTAAGCCATTTTTTTTCCATTTTTTAATTTATTATCCAAACCTGTTAACAGAAAAGTAACATTTTTCCCATGAAGAGAAAACCATCCATCATTATTGCATCACAAGGTTTAGAAAATATGAAGACTTTTTAATCATGCTTCATGTTCCACTGTAAACTTTATGTAACTATATGTTCTTGGATTTTTAAAAATGTTTTGGCAGTAGATGTATTAAGTTGATAGGCAATTGAGGAAGTGTTTGAAACCCAATCTGTAATATTTTGCCTAGGATATCTTGCTTTTAAAAAAGGTCTGGTGGCGATCATGCTGTTGCGCTTCTTGCAACTGCTGTGAAGGCAGCCTTTATGATCTTCTATTAGAATGTTTCTTCCTTCACTGTGCTGGACAGACAACCTAGAAAGTGGCTAGAATTGGAACTTGCTGCAACAACTTGACTAATTGAAGGTAGTCAATATACTTGAATACCATCGCTTAAAAACAGCATATTTTAAGGGAAGGTAGTCAAGTACATTATATATAGTTTAGGTGAGGTACTGAGTGAAGCATAATTACCAACTTTGAGCATTTGGGCTAAATGGATGTTTTATGTTTTAATTACGCTATCATTCAATGAAGTATCAGATTGCTTCAATCTTAGATAAATTCTGTGACTTAATTATGCAGATGGAAATATACAAATCTCCCCAATCTAGGTAATGGTTTATTGCTTTTGAAATAAACCATGAGGTAAGCTCATCTTTAGGGAAAGGATAACTACTGGAGTTTATTTCTTTGCTAAAATACAAGTCAAGATTTGCCAAGCTGATTAAAAGTTATTTGTGTAACACCTGCTTATGGGTAAACATTGTTTCGGGATGGTTAATGGCAATAATATCTCATAATTTATGACTGGTCTGACATAATGAGGCAGAAAAACAGTTCATTGTATTCATGCACCTAACTGCTGTCTTGGGCCAAAATTAAATCTCTTTTAGAAACTCGTCAAGTAGTAAGTAGCCCTGATGACTTTTTCAGGAACTATTATTTGAATTCGTCACTGAAATGCTAGCCAATATGTTACTGGACCTCATAGCATTTTAAGTTAGCCTACATAATACTTATAATATGAGTGTATGCCATGTAAAGAATGGTTTAATATTTTTAATAAGAGGTATTTAATGACAGACTACTTAGCAGTATCAAGACCATGTCATTTTTGAAACTCCATCATTTATGCATCCCCTGATTAGTGAGGTTAGGTCACATGGAATACAGAGAGAATAGCTGTTTGGATACAGAACTGGCTCCAAGTTAGAAGACAGAGGGTGGTGGTGAAGGGTTGCTTTTCAGACTGGAGGTGGTGTGCCACAAGGATCAGCGCTGGGTCCACTGCATTTTGTCATTTATATCAATGATTTGGATGTGAACATAGGAGGTAAGGTTAGTAAGTTTGCAGATGATACCAAAATTGGAGCTGTAGTAGACAGCGGAGAAGGTTACCTCAGTACGATGGGATTTTGATCAGATGAATCAGTGGGCTGAGGAGAGGGGAAAGATATAAAAGGGACCTAAGGGGCAACTTTTTCACGCATTGGGTGGTGCGTATATGGAATGAGCTGCCAAAGGAAGTGCTGGAGGCTGGTACGATTACAACATCTAAAAGGCATCTGGGTGGGTGTGTGAATAGGAAGGGTTTAAAGGAATACAGGCCGAATGATGGCAAATGGGACTAGACTTATATGGGATATTTGGTTGGCATGGACGAGTTGGACTGAATGGTCTGTTTCCATGCTTTATATCTCAATGTCTCTTAGATGAGACAGCCAACCTATTGTGCTGCCACGGTACTCCTCTAGGCTCCACGCCTGCCTCTGGCCACTCCCTGTAGGCATTTTTATTATTTTACAGATGCCCACAACTTTTACGTATGCACCATAGAAAGTATTGTATCTGGGTGCGTAATGGTCTGGTATGGCAACTGCTGTATCCAGGGCTGATAAGAAACTGAGGAAAGTTATGTGTACAGACCATCACAGAAGCCAAACTCCCATCCATGGACTCCATTTATATTTGTTGCTATGGAAAGGCTGCCAACATCATCAAAGACCCCTCTCACCCCAAAAACACACTCTTCCAACCTCTCCAGTTAGGCAGAAGATACACCAGCTTGAACACACGCACCGGTAGGTTCACGAACCGCTTCCCTGTTCTTGTTAGACTGCTGTATGGCCTTCTCTAATTCCAAGTAATGGTGATCTTGCTAATGTTGATCATGCTTTGTGCACCTCCTGTGCAGCTGTGATCTTGTATGCCTCGCTCTGTCGAAGCACCCTGTGGTCTGTACGTCCTTGATTGCTGTGACTGCTGTACTGCTCGCAAAACAAGGCTTTTCACTGTACTGAGGTACATGTGACTACAGTAAATCAAATCAAGTCAAAATCAAATATCTTGATGGACCCTTTGGTTTGAGACTCCAATGGATGAGTCGACCATGTCATGGAATTAAGTACTTTTCACAATAATTGAGTACTGTCGGCAAGAAATTTTGAACAGAATCTGGTAATGTCTTGGCAGCATCAGAGGTGCAGAAATTCTGAAGAAGGGTCCCAACCCGAAACGTCAACTTCCCTGATCCTCTACTGCCTGACCTGCTGTATTCCAGCTCCACACTATGTTGTCTCTGACTCCAGCATCTGCAGCTCTTGCCATCTCCTAGTAATGTCTTATGGCATTTTTAAAAATGCATGTAATTTTTCATTGAAAAATCATACAAGCATCAGTAATTTTGCCTTTTTTTAAGGCTGTGTGTTCACTTGGTTTTTCAATAAGGGTTTTACTTCCTGCAACAAATATGAAATGAATGAGCACAGATCTAAGTTTTATTTACAATGTGAAAAACATTTCATAGAATTGTAAACAGGGGAAGAAATATGCCATCTCCCAGCAACCAGCAGTCAAGCCTGCAAGGCAGGTGGCTGATTGTGTAGCTTCAGAAAATTCTTGGCTATTACTGGCCACCAAGAGATGCATGATGACTGACGACTATTATTCTCCCTCTAAATTATACTCCTTTCCTGCTGTTTTCTATTGCCCTACTTTGCAAAGTCACTGGAGAACTGTGATTGGCCTTCACTCCATTGCATTTCAAAGCCTATACGACCCAAAGACGTTGTTTTAAATTAAAAGATGCTTTTCTGAAATTACATTTACAGATGACTCCGCGCTGAAATAGTATGTAGGTATTTATCAATTGTGATATTATAACAAGCTTACAGTGCTATCTTATGGTTTGCATGTGTTTTTGTGCAATTTTTCAGAATTAATAGCTATATTGTTTATTGACCTGAATTTCCTTTTTATGTTTTAACAGGATTAGTTGCTTAGCCGCTATTTGCCTAACACAAGCATGGATGATGTGGAAGTTTATCAACTTCCAGCTGAAGAAGTGGAGGGAACACACCCAGAATCAGATCCCCAGAAAGAAAGTAGCTAATACCAAGAGCAAGCCTTCAAAAAAAGAGTATAACAAGGGTCAGTATTAAAACCTAGAAAATCTTTCTCTAGCCTTCATTCCGTGATTTAATCTTATAAAAATAATAATGATTAATAAAAATAGTCAGCATTCTGTTAAAGTTACAAACCCGATTCACTGGAATGGTAACTTTATTTAAACAGTTGAAGCTGATTCTGAGTTCCTGTCTAGATTGTCCCAGGCCTGTACTGCAACTTTGCAGGGTGACCATGACAGCCCTAAAACAGCGTAACTTGCTCTTTTTGTGGGGATGCCGTCAGAATTCAAGACCCAGAAAGCAAACACGTTTTATGAGCCATGTGTTGTTATTAGATGTCACAGACCAGATTATATTACATCCACCTTAATAACTACAGAATGTTTGAGGCTAGTAATGATCTGAGGAACAGCAACTTCAAAAGTTGTTGGAGACCAAGTAAAGATAAATGAAACATTGAAAAGTGGTCAATTGAATAAAACTAAAATATTTCTTGATTAAGAAGGCTTTACTTGCGAATACCTTAAATGTCTGTAATGCTGCTCAAAACCCATTATGGGGAGCCCTTTTATTTAAACCTAGAAACCAGCGTTAATGGGTTTTACGTACCATGAAAAAGCCTTTTGCATCTTGCATGTTGCCTCATCTTACAAACAGACACAATGAATCTATAATGGAGTCCCTATCAGACTAGTGTCATTTACATTGCATCAGTCTGAGTAGACTGAAACTGTTCAGTTCCCACTTGAACTGATACCTTAAAACAATAAATTAGCAAGTTGCCCAGAATAATTTGTGGTAACTCTTTTGTTCATTATTATAGAAAAAAAACTGTTCTCCTATAAAAGGTATCTTGAAGATCTAGAGGTGGAAAGTCACTCATATGTACAGAGTTGTGTTAATTCCCTCGGGGAAAACAGTCATAATTTAGTGTCTACATGGCTCGAGCATAGTTCCTCATTTCATTGAAGAATGCTGCCTGGATCATGAGAATTCATGTGGTCTAACAGTGCACTAGTACAAAGTGAACAAAATTTCTGTCCTCAATTTAAATTAAAATTGACAAACTTCAGTTTTTTAATGATCAACTACTCTCCAGCTCCCTTTTTTGTTTCTTCATCTTTTGTGGTCAGACATTTTCTAGTCATGTTTATCTCTTCATTATTCTTTCAGCTGCTTACCCCCTCATAGCTGTTCGGCAGAATTATATTTTATGGTTATTAAAGTTCCAGGACAGGAAGCTACATGAGTTCCTCAGGTAGTCTCCTCTTCTTGACCACCTTCAGCTGCTTCATCGATGACCTTCCCTTCCCCCATAGGGTCAGGAGTGAAGATGTTCCTTGATAATTGTTCAATGTTGGGCACTATTTGTGACTCCTCAAACAGTAAAGTATTCATGCCCAAACGCAGCAAGACCTGGACAATATCCAGGTTTGGACTGACAAGTGGCGCAAGTAACCTTCATGAAACGGTGCTAGGCACTGACTCCAAGAGAAGAAAACCATCACCTCCTTAACATTCAGTGATGTTACCATCACTGAATACCCCACAATGAATATCTTTGGGGCTACTCTTAGCGATAAGATAACCTGGATTAGCCCGATAGATACTGTGTCTACAGGTGTAGGTCAGATGCTAGAAATCCTGCGAATTAATGCATCTCCTGATTTCCTAAAGCCTGTCTACTTTCTTCAAGATACAAGTAAGGAGTATAATTAAATATTCTTGACTGGATGAGTGCATCTCCAAGAAATCCTGGACAAAGCAATCCACTTGATTGACAGTACACCCTGAAACATTGACACCCTCTGCCACCACTTAACAGTAGCAGCAGTGAAAATTATCTACAAGATAGACTGCAGAAATTCACCTTAGCTCCTTAGACTGTGTCAGACAGCACTTTACAAACCATGGAATCATATAACATAGAGCAAACCCTTTAATTCAACTCGCCCATGGCTACCAGATTTCCTAACCCAAACGACTCCCATTTGCCTGTGTTTGGCCTATATCCCTCAAAACCTTTGCTGTTCAGGGATGCAGCGCAAGATGGCAGTGCAGACATGCTAAGTAGTGCTCAGGCTCTTGAGCCTGTATACTTCAGGTTGGCCGCATCCTTCTCTCTCTTCGCCCTTTTTGTTTTTCTTTCTCTTTTCTTCCATCATCTGACATTGTGGGGAAGCCAGAGTGGTATCGGAGGTTTGTTATTGGCAGCGGTGGTGGTGCCTGGAGCCTGAAATTGGGAACTTTTGCTATTGCAGCCCTGCTCCTCTGTAGCCAGTAGATCCACAGCATGGACTTGGCTGCGACAGTGCGTGGTGTCACAGTAGGGACTCAGCGGGCTGTCTGTTGCAGTAGTGCTGAATGGATCATCTGTGGCGGTGTCCAGAAGAGGTCTCCTGGCTGTGGTAGGCCCACAGTGTGGACTCAGCGGGTCTTTGGTTGCGGCAGTGGTGGTGGTGCCTGCTCCAGGACCTTGCAGAGACCTTTCAAAAGACAATGCAACTGGTTTGTTGACTCCTTGCATAGAAGATGAACTCTCTCTTTAATGTTACTACCCTTTTATTCTTTTTATAACTCAGATGGCACTGTATTGTGGCTACACTTGCCACTATCCTTCCAGATATATATGACAATAAATAAATATTCATGTACCTGTCCAAATGTCTTTTAAATGTTGTAACTGTACCTGCACCTACCACTTTGCCTGTCAGTTCATTCCATATGCGCATCATCCTGTGTGTGGAAAAAGTTGCCTCTCAGGTCCCTTTGAAATCTTTCCCTTCTAACATGAAACTTATGCCCTAGGGAAAGGACTTTGGCTATTCACCTTATCTATACATCTATTATTTCACAAACCTCTATAAAGTTACCCCTCAGTCTCCTATGCTCTAGGGGAAAAAACTCCCAGCCTGTCCAGACTCTCCTCAGTACCATCTAGATAAGAGAGCAGGAGATGCGTTGGAACACCACCACCTGCAATTTCTTCTCCAAGAAACGCAACATCCTGACTTGGAAATGTATTGCTTTTCCTTCAGTGTTACTGTCTCAAAATCCTGGAACTCCCTTCCCACTACCAATCTGGGTGAATCTGCATTAGTTGAATAAGACAGCTCATCACCAGCTAACCAGTCCAACATTTGACCATGATGCTTACAAGTAGTTGGCTATTGGTTCAAGAACCAAATACATTAGTTGACTTGAGCTATTTTTGTTCCCTTACTGTTTTGTTTTTTATTTTTGCAGCTAATGCATCAAATGGAACAGTGAAAACAGAAAGTGGAACTTCACCACGTGCAAGGAAAGCAAAAGCTTCGTGAAGCTGGATTTTAAAAATTGGCAAATTCGAGGGAAAAAGAAACTGTGATGATCACAAATCTCTTCAATCTTCTCACACCCCAAAACCACTCTACTTTCATTTCTATATGCTAATCAGAGTTGAGCAAAGAAAGTGATGGCAAACCCTGTTGAGAGACTCTTTGTGTTCTTATAAACGAAAATGAGGTGAAACTGTTGCTGCTCCAAACAGATCAGCTATTGGATGAGGCCTTGAGTGGTCAATACTCAGCTTTGGGGTGCGCGCATATAGTTTTTTTTGTTCTTGTCGGTTTTGAATGGTGGCTGGAGGACACCTGAATGGTGAACAAGTAGCTGTGCTAATTGGGGTGCGATAGAAATTGGCCAGTTGGATGCCTTTACCAAAGGCTGTTTTGGGTCCAGTTACCAAGGCCATAGGCATGAATATTGGAATTGCTAACGATGTGTTAGGAATTATATATGAAAATTGTCTTATTAGCTGGAGACTGGGCCAATCACAGCTGCATTAAGTTATTCTTTAATTTTCTGTTTCCCGCCCCTTTCTGATGCTTGTAATGTTGTGATGCTTAGATTTCAAAGTACGCAAACACACCAGATCCTAACAAACTGTGAATACAAGTTCAAATGAAAACTGTAACTGTTCCCCACACTGTTTTTCCTATCTTGAAAAATGAGTCAGCGTCACCCTGTCTGGTTATTATGTATCAGTCTCCATTGTTGCACGAACGATATGTTGACCTGAAGTAATCATGATGTTCCTGAACATAATAAGGGCACATGATTGGAGCAGTGTCCACACTACAGAAACAGGCTTAGACCTCAATATTTTTTGGTAGGTTGCTCAAACACACAGTCACTTTTGCTGTAGAGTTTCTGCAGCTTGTTCAGTCCATTTTGTGAGGATTTTTCTTTTTTTCTTAAAAAGTTTGATAAATGCTGCCATTTATACTCCAAACTTTTATGTAGGGTTTTGTTTTACTTTTGTGGCTTTAGAAGATAATGTACGCATTTGACATGCAATCTTTACCCCTCCCTCAAATTTTATTAAGTGTCCTTGATGAAAAATGTAAAAATGATCAGCCAAAAACACCCATCTTGCAATTGTACAGGAACTCAGCAAAATGTTCTTTTCAAGGGGGAGGCTTTTTAATTTTTTGAGTAAGAAAATGATCCTTTCCTGTTTAGCATTTTGCATTTTTAGTTGCTTTGCCCGTAGATGTGTGATGGGAACTGTGCCTTAACCTTGACAGATATTGTCGTCTTCTCTATTTTTAACATGAAAAGGCATCAGAGTTTCTAAACCATCATGACCCTAGTCCATTTCACTGTTTATTATTTTCATCTCAAACAAGAATGACTTGAGCATTTTTAACTAATGTTTATTTTAATCAAAGAAGAAATTCTTCTGTTTTATGTGGCTCTGGAACATAGTTGTTTTAAATGGTGTTTATCACCAATAGTATTTTACATATATTTTAAAACAGATCATCTTCAAAACATACATTATGGGGTCTGCTTTGCCCCATAATCTTTCCTGCTGAAAGACAATTAAATGGTTTTATAGATTGTTTCTCTGTTAGCATTCTCCCAAGTTATTTTCCTTGTTTAGGATCCCCATATTTAGGAAAATGTAGCACACTTTTACTTTGGGGTTTATAAGAGAGAAGAGCGAAGATGTAAGAGACTATTTTTACACTCTTTTTGGTTAACAGATCCTGTTTAACATATATACATCTACAAAAGTTACTTTATACCAATTTATCACTTTGACAAAGTTGCGCAATGGGAAGATACCTCTTAATAGTTTGTTCTTTATTTTCTACCAAGTACTGCAAATAATTTCATCAAGCTAACCCAAATTGGACATTTTTCAACACGTAGAGCCTTATTTGTTGGCCATTTGGCTTTCTCAGAATCCCTTGGACACACATACTGAAGTTATAGTGCATTTATGTATATCAAACCTACCAAATGAGCTTGTGTACACAGGCTTACTTTCCTAACTGTCTGTACCAAATCACCACATGTACACATCCTTGCGTACAGAATCGCCTTATATATGAGCCCACGCTGATTCTTTTGTTCTGAAT